TTTTTTGATAGTGTTTTAGTGAATGATAAATGCATAGCAATTGATTGTGAAATGGTTGGAGTTGGTTATCAGGGGAGTGTGTCAGCACTTGCTAGAGTCAGCATTGTAAATTATTATGGGACGAAGTTACTTGATAAATACGTCAAGCCAAAAAAAGTAGTCACGGATTACCGTACACCGTACAGTGGGATCACCAAAGAACATTTAGAAAATGGTATGATTAATATCATTTTAAATGTTTTCATCGGATTATTTTAAATTATCTCTTTTTTTTTAATTTTTTTAATAGCTCATGATTTTGATGAAGTTCAACGTGAAGTTCAGGAATTAATGAAAGGAAAATTGATAATTGGTCAATCTCTTGGTTTTGATTTTAATGTTAGTTATTTTTATTGCTGTTTTTTTTAAAAAAAAAACCATTATTAAACATTTTACTACAGGCTTTAGAATTGGAACATCTAGCAGACTCCACGGTGATACGCGATACTTCACATTATTATTACTTGTTTGGCGATAGATTCGGAAAGAAACTGATGTATAAGAACAAAAAGCCTTCTCTTAAAAAATTGGCCAAAGAGGTTTTAGGACTACAGATACAAGAAGGCACGCATGATTCTGTAAGTTGTAACTTGAAAATATTTATAATATATTTTTTTTTCAACCAATCAATTTTTTCATTTAATTATTTTTATTTGCAGGTTGAAGATGCAAGAACTTGCATGCTACTTTATCGACTGAAGCAAAATGAATGGGAGAAACCTATGAATGCAGTAGGAGGGTCATCATTAGAAATCGGCAAATGTTACGTCTGCGGCTCACCTACTCACGTCAAGAATCGATGCCCCGAAAATCCGATGAGAGACAAAATCTACATCTAGTTACACAATTTACAATATATTACAACGTGAACGTTATTATTATTATTATCATCATCACATTGAATATTCTTTAATAAACGAATAAATTTTTTTACATCACATTTTCTTTAAATATTAAATCGTTATGCAAAATGTATTTCATCGGAGACCTAACCTCAGTTCCAAAACTTGCTGGATGATATCTATGGTTTATTGTTTATTTCTTGAAACTTCTTTCGTTTAATTACTTCAATTACTATTTCCTCAATGTAAAAATCATTACTTTCAAGTATAGCAATTAAAATTGGTTTTTCCAATAATTCAAATTCACTTGACTCAAATAAATTATCACAATAATCATAAAATTTTTCTAAATAAAATTTTTTCAATTCCTTAAATATTTCTTCATTAGAATAGATTGATTTTAGAATCTTAACAGAATTTTCTTTAATGTAATCCTCATGTTTTTCAATAAAGTAATTCATTGTAAATTTGTAAAATGACTCAAGGCCAAGTTCATCTTCTACAATCAATAATTACGATACATCTGCTCCATTAAATTCATCTAACTCAATTTTGCAAGTATATAGAAATCTTTTAAATGTAGAATATTATTATTATTATTATTATTATTAAAAATAAACAAATGATAAAGTTATTGTTATTAATAGTATAATAAACTTACTTAAGTATTGTCTTAAAGGCCAATTCATTAAGATTTGCTTTCTCAATGATAAAATAACCATTTTCTTTTTTTGCATTCATTAATGCATTTCGATAAAAAGGACAATGTGCAGATATAATTGATGAATGTGCATGAACTTCTTTAATATTTGGTTCTACGCCAACATAAATTTTTACATCATATAAATCTTCTGTATTTAATAATCTTTCATTTTCGTTAAAATAAATTTCAAAGATAGTTGAATCCATTTTTTTTTTTTTAGAAATACATAAATTTAAAATTTTTTTTTTTGATAAGCCCAAAAAATACAAGTGAATGAAGTTGCACGAACCAATTCAGGGCGTAGTTTTTTATAATAAAAGTAATACTCCTTCTTAAAGATTAACTTCATATATGAAAAAGTGTTATCATGAAGTTTTACATCCTATAATTCCAAAATTAATTCGCATTCCCGCCTGCTGTACACATTTTGAGATTTAATTTTATTGTTTATATACAAGTTATTAAAATCCAATAAATAAATTAATTTTTATTTAGTGCATTAATCATTCTTTAGCAGTTAAAACATTATTAGAAAGAGTTGCAAAAACATTTAGCACATTGTCATTGATATATGGATCATTTACAATTAATCAACCACGATAAATTCTTTACGGAATTATTGATTTGAAATTGTTAATTGTATAGTATGGATTTTTCAAGCTGAGATTGAATTTGATGAAACTGAAACATTAAAAGCTATTGTATCACTCACTCCTTTCTAATAGACAACAATTAGGCTCATTCATTACAATCAATTTATTTAAACATTGAATTTTTTCAACAAGAAAAACCCAGCATTATTGAAAGTAACCACAAAATCTCCCAACATCTATAGAAAAGTAACATGATGTGAAAAATGAATTATTCTTACATACCGCTGATACCGTGACCTTGATTTTAGTTACATGCAGATATAAATAAAATTGATACTTTTTAAAAGAAAATGAGTGAGTTTTAGACTTGCTTTAGATCTCAAAATTTTTCTTTTTTTCTTTTTTTTTTTCTACTTACGTCTTAGAATATTTAATATAATTATTGACAAAGTATGCATCATCTTACAAAAATCTTTTTATTAAATATTGTAATTGCCTCGTGCTTTTTAAAAATGCACCCTTATATCAAATCAGAATCTCGGTCAACAATGGAATCTTTCAAGTTTCAATCGGAAGAGGCGAAAAATCTGTTAAAAAGAATGGAAAAGAAAATAAAAGCAGGTAACCATGATACCACCATTCCATATATAATAATGAAAGAAAACTTTCAAGACATTATTATTTTGTGTAATTACTTTCATTCACTTGTCATGATGTTTATGGACAGTAGAACCCTCTCAATGTTGGCAGTTACTGCTTTATTTGCGCAATTTCTGAATACTTATTCCATTATGGTATTGAATTTGTAATAATTAATCAATAAGTTTGATTTTAAGTGACCATTAAATTATTATTCAACTAATGATTATAAAAATTATTTTTAATACTAATTTAACAAAATAATAAATGGCAAATTTATGTTGAATTAATTCGATAATAATTTAAGATTAGGCATTGTACCATATCGAGCATTATAGAATTTGGGATCCGGATCCAAAAAAATAACCGATATGAAAAGTCTGCTAAATCAAGGCAATAAAAAAAAAAAATAATTACATTTTTGGAGTTTCTCACAAGCCATGTGTAGCATACTTGATCAAATATCCACATTTCACAATAACTCTTTATTTTTTATGCTGTATCTCATGATAAATGAAAATAGACCGAGAAACAACGTTAGAAACACATTTTTTCAGAGTTGAAATAGAGTGTTCTACAATATTAGCAATTTCTTAAATCTTACCTTTAGATGCATTAACTATTCCAACCATATTACTATCGCTTTCAAGCTGGCCAGGATAGAATATCAAATAAATTTATAAATTTGGGGGGAGAAGATTGATTATATACCTTCGTATTACTACTGCATTAGATAGTCTTAAATATGACTCACCAGAATAAATCCAAGAAAAATAGACGAAAACTCGTGATAATTGTACCACAAATCCTAAACAGCACTTACAATATCAAAATCTGGAATATCATAGATGAGGAACATATAATTATCATAAATAGGAACACACAAGATACAAATGCAGTACTTGAGGTATATAGATAGCTTACTTTCCTGCATGTACGCACCCCCCTTTTCGGACTGTCCTCAAAGGTTAGAGAGAAAGCAATTAGAATAATTACTTATATGTCTAGGGAACCATAAAATTTTTGCGCAGTAATGCTTAAAATTGTAAGCAAAAGAAGTGATAAACATCGTAATAAAT